TCTTCCTGAACATGTCTTTTCATCAAGCTGACAGGTTCAGTGCAGTGTGCTGACTGAAATCATGTTCTCATCACAAATGTTTTACTCTAGTGTCAGTTTGTCAGTTTCTGTGTTCTTCTCTTTGTCTTCAGATCAGTTTTATTTCTTCCTTCATCACCTGCTGGTTCTGACACACTGACTCTGTGGCTGGAAATGAACTTGTTTTCCACAGCAGTTTACCTGCAGACCTTTCAGCCACTATTCTGTTTACTGTGCTTCTCTGCCACAGTTCAGAACAGTTTGTCTGACTTATTTCACACAGTCCTGGAGAAATCTATCCCTGCCTGTCACACGTGTGTCTATTGATCTGTCTGGATCAGAGATCTGTCTCTTTCCAGCTATGATTTTAAATCCCTGATATTTTACAGATCAGGGGTAAAAGCTGGAGGTCTGTGGCCTCTCTTACATTCACTCTCATTCTACATTTTGCTGAAGGCTGTATTGATCCCTTTGTAATTGATCCTGTATTGATTATTGTGTCTAAACCCCTCTGTACATCTGTCAAAAACCCTATGTCTCATTTCAGCTGTAACAGGATACAGCTCCTGTCTGAAAATACTCAGTAAGATCATTGGGTAACGAAGCCCTCCTTGAGTCCCTGCAGATCTCCCTCTGTGAGAAGGTGACAATATTCCTCCCGCAGTTCCTCTCTGTCAGGCTGCCCTGAGACAGGACTGACCACAGTGTGGCGCCACTGCAGGCTTGCAGAACAGGACTCAGACTCTCCAGTGTCAAGAGCTGCACCTGTGGACACTGATTGTCTGAAGGGCTGATTGGACTGGGAGGATTTTCACATGGGATTGAGCTGTATAAAAGCTGTGTCAGAGGCACAGGAATGAATAGCAGTGAGATTTGGATAGATAGGTCATGGTTAGAAAAAGCAATTGTGGGTTTTTAGTGAAAGCCCTTTGGTGTTATTTGTGTTTGTCTTGTTTAAGCTTGTAAATGTGTCTTTTATTGTCCTTTTGGTTTCACAGGTTTTCTGGAGCCATGATCTTCCCTTTGTGACAGTACCTTTAGTGGTCATGTGAAGTACTGCAGCCTAGAGCCCTGTGGCTGGACAGTTAACCCACAGGTCAACTGATACTAACTAAGCAGGAGAGGGAGTCAGGCCAGAAGCAGAGAGCCAGCAGTGTGCTGGAGCTCAACCTGTCTGAGAGGGAGGAGACAGGAGCCCTGCAGGTGAGTGTGGGGCTATAGCCTAGTCACCCTTCTGCTGGTGTGGGGGTCTTTCTAAACCAGGAGCCCAGCTGGTGTGGCAGCTGCTGGTGCTCTGGACAGGACTGGCTCCAGCCTGCAGGACCCTGAGCTCATCTTCAGCCGGACTGTCCCAGGTCAGGATCAGCAGGGGGAGAGGAAGGAGTCTGCTGTGAGCCCAGGGTCTCCAGTGCAGTGGTGAGCTCAGAGCCCAGTGTCTAGAAGCAGTGTGGGAGTGTCTCTGTATCCTAGAGAGGAGGGTAAACAACAATGCCCCAGTTGCTGCCAGGGTCTCTAGCTGGGGGAGGAACTGTTGACCTTCCTGCTGCTTCTCCACTCATCCCCAGGGCAGCTGTCCTGGCTGGAGCTGTTTCATGACCGACACCTGCTACTTCAGTGCAGACAGAACTCCTACAGTTGGCAGGTTAAGTACAGAATCAATAATTGGAATGTACTGTTATTCAATATGATGAATGTAGTTCAGCACTGTATGACAGCGGCTGCCTACAGTCCTCAGATCCCTTTTCTTAAAGCCCTCAGGTCTGCCAGTAGGAGTGTCTGAGCTCTGGATCAGAAGGAGAGCAGATCTGAGAGAGCTGTGGCCTCCATCCCTCTGCCAGTGGGGAGAGAAGCCAGTCTTCCCTTCCCTCCAAACCTTAATCTCCCAGTGAGCTGAACCTCCTTGACGATAGGAGCAGCTCCTGAGCTCCCTGAGCCCCTGGGAGAGGAGCAAAAAAGCAGGTCCAGAAACACAAGAACTGTGGTTTCTCTCAAAGGGAATTCGGTTTAATTTTAATTACAATATATCTTTTTTTTTTTTTTTTCTTTAGCAATGGGAACAGTTTAGTGTCACTCCAATAGCTTAGCAGGACTGCAGCCCTACACCGCAGCCAGTGGAGGCTGAGATTGATACAAACTGAGCAGGCTGCTGCTTTTCTCTGCAGGGCCTGATGTCTGCGACCAGGTCTCCCCTGGGGAGAGACTCTCCTGTAGCTTCCTGGTTGGAGGCTGGGGTCCCAGATGCAAGAGCTGGCGTACTGGAGCTCCGTCTGCTGTCGCTGCCTGCAGGATACACCCCAGCAGAGCAATCACCCCTGCACCCCAACCAGGCTCTTCTCCACTTCCTGCAGAGCTGTGATACACAGGAGAACTGAGTCTCTTCTCCTTCTTGGAACTTGAAAATAGAAAACCAGTGTTCAGTTAATAAAGAGCTAAAAAATGAAACCCCAGTTCTCTTATTCTCACACTTCTGGGCTCATGTGTGACTTCAGCTGGTGCTCTGTTGGCACTGTGCCTCTTCCTTCACCCAGGTAACCCAATAAACCTGCCACCACAGCTCACAGGAATAGGGCAGCAGTTAATCACGTACATGGAGTCATCAGCCCCTGTGGGATGAGAGGGCATCAATCAGGGAGGTCAGACCACAGAGAGAGAGGAGCTGGGGGTCTGAGAGGAGGGAAGGGCTTCCTCAAGACCTTCTCCACAGGAGGGGCTGCAGCTATTGGGGTTGGGAGGACAGGTGGTCCTCTGATCCTCAAACAGCAGTCAGCACAGCAACATGCCTCCTCCCAGGGGGGCGTTGGGTCAGGGAGAAGAGGGTCATGCACCTTGCAAGTGAAGCCAGAATGAACTATTGAGGCAACAGCCTCTCTCACCTAGAGGAGGGGTGACAGCTGACCGCTCCCCCCAGCCCCACAGAGCCCAGAGTAGGACCCCACTGTCTCCCAGCTCTGAGCCTCCGCCCTCAGGGGCACAGGGAGCTGGAGAGTCCCGGCCAGAGAGGCCCCGGTGCTCTTGACCTCTGATCCCTAGCAGACTCGGGTCTCACTGCAGCAGAACACGGCCCGTGTGTGGACTTGGGGTCCCAGCTGTGCCCCTGGACAGCCTCTGTGCTCTGACACCGGCGGAGTCACGGGCGGCTCGCAGAATTCAATTCAATGCAATTTATTTTTACATAGCGCCTTTCACAACAAGGTTGCCCCAAGCCACTAAACAAAACAAGTGACCGTACATGTTGTGAATACAGAACGGAAAAGACTGGAAGACAACGGAGGAGAGGAACCACAAACTCCTCAGTAAGGAGAAAAGAAACCTCTAGGGGTCCAAGGTCAACTGTCTGCCCAACTCCTTTGGGCATGCTAACATTATACAATTAAAAAGGGGAGAAATGAATGAAGGTATTAATCCATCCATCACGTCTTCGTATGTCAGTACTCCATGCAGATCTCTGTAGACCAGCAAAATCCTCCTAAGCGATAGCTGTATCCATGATGTCCCTCTTGGATCCACGGCAGTGATGCAGCATCCAACTCAGATGGTTGCAAAATCCTCCGAAGCGATAGCTGTATCCACGATGTCCCTCTTGGATCCAAGGCAGTGATGCAGCATCCAACTCAGATGGTACCCAGCCCGGGCGCCTTCCGGACATGTGGGGAGGAGAATAGGATAGTCTGGTCAGAACAGATGTATCTACCTGGTGGGCCAACACAGAGACACACAATGGCATGTACAGCAGCACCAGGAGCCATGGCTGCAGCAGGCTATAATGTAAGGGGTGAGTAGACTAGGCTGCAGTAATAGGCCTTCAGTCTGGATTTGAATACTGAGATTGACTCAGCCTCCCGAACATGGGGTTGGAGACTGTTCCATAAGCTAGGGGCCCTGTAATTGAAGGCTTTACTGTACCTCCAACTGTATTTTAATTAATGCGTGGAATACGAAGAAGACCTGCATTCTGTGATCTAAACGGCTGACTTGGATGGTATACATTAACAAGTTCCATTAGATAGACAGGTGCCTGACCTCGGAGAGCCCTGTAAGTAAGTAGAAGAATTTTGAAGTCGGCCCTGTACCTGACAGGAAGCCAATGAAGAGAGCTAAGTATGTGGGTTATATAGTCGTACTTTCTGCTCCTAGTAACAATTCTAGCTGCTGTGTTCTGAATTCTCTGTAAGGTGTTGAAAGAGTGGTGGGTGCTCCCTAATAGCAGGGCATCGCAGTAGTCTAACCTGCTGTATACAAGAGCATGTATTAATTTCTCTGTGTCTTGAGTGGAGAGAAAATACCTTTGTTTCGCAATATTTCTTAACTGTAGGAAGCATGTTTTCAATACTGTTTTAACATGAGAATTAAACAAGAGCCTTTAATATGACGCCTAGGTTACGTGCTGAGTCTTTGAGGCAAACGTTTTAATCCTTTGAGTAAAGTGCTGAAGGTATAGTAGTCCTATCAGTATTGTTGCCTCTAACAGAACAGAACTGCAGAATTCCCACAACACCTGGAATTACAGCGGAGAACTTCCAACGGTTATTCTCACAGGCTTTTTATTCACCAACAAGAGGATACACACATAAATCCTAAACACGACCCAGTAATTGTCCTCCTCCATCTGACAGTGACATGA